TTTTGGCAATGCCGTCGCCCCCTATTGGTCAATTTCTGTCAACCATTGTTATGTTCGTTTTGTTTGAGTTTTATTGCACTTCAGAAAAGACTGTTTAATTATTAGTACAGATACATAATACATAAGGTAGGATAGAATAGTATATTTTTTCCATTTGAACTGCATACTTTTTTCCTCTCCCTATATTCCTGTATCATTCTCCCCTTAGTCTACTACTCTGTAGGCCATGTTAGTACAGGTTAGTTAGTTGTAGCTTGTTAGCCTGTTAGTAGGGTAGTATGGTAGGTTACATGTGTCTGTGTATCGAGTCCTGGGGAAACGATATCTTGTTTCACTGCGTGCTATGTATGCGTAAGGAATGACAATAAATCTTCTGACTCTGACTCTGCTTTTCAAAAATATTTTAAGGACAAGATTCAAAAGCTTATTGAAAATCATTCACCAAGTTTGGTGATGTAAGGACAAAATGTCATTGATTTATAGTCAAATCTGAGCCAAGCCCATGGATGTGTTTGGAGCTGGTGGCTCCCCCTATTGGGCGATTTCAAAATAATTTTACACTTGCGTTTCAAAAGTGTTATGAAACATACCCTATGCGTTTTGTAATGATTAGACAAAAATAGTTTGATTTATAGTCTGATTTGTGTAGTGCTACACGCATTTTTTGTATTTGTAGCTCCCCCTACTGTTCGATCTACATGTAATTTTCAGGCTATGTTCCAAGTCCTGCTCTAAACATATCTTGCAAGTTTTGTGATGATTGGCCAGATGCTCGTGGAGTAATGTCTATTTATATGTTAAGCCACGCCCCTTTTAAACTTCATTGGTCAATACCTTCAAAGCAGATAAAGATATCAACATGAAAAATGCTGTTTTAATAAGGTAGGTCCACTGATCATGCAAAGCAAATTTACTGCAAATTGAACTTAGATAAATTGAAGATACCAAAATGAGTTCTTCAAAAAATTCAAAAATCTACCCAGGCAGACCTTACGGGTCCTAAATGCAAATTTGCAGAGGGAGGTCCAATACATCTCTGCGGAAAGTTTTGTGTAAATCAGACTCACAATGTAGGAGTTATGAAAATAAAAGATTCTACCTTAAATTATAGTGCCACCATCAGGCCAAAAGGGTTATATTTGTGCAAGTAAAGAACACACTTTCCAATCATTGGTGAAAGTTCCATGTCTCAACAATGTTCCATCTCACGGGAATTAGCGCAGTGTCAGAAGATTAATAACAATAATGAAAGATTGTTCATGGAATGATGACTTGCCGAAATTCCACCCACTTACATCAGAGTGACGTCATCGCGACATCATCGCGACCTGTAACAGCTACAACTGCATTGCCTTGGTGAAAAGAGTGCCATTAGTTTCAAGTCTCTAGCTTAATTACGTTGTAGAAATAATTAGGAGTTATTGACTAAAATGTACTTTTTACCTTTTGAGTGACCTAGACTTTGACCTTGACCTTTAGGACATGAAAATTTGAATTCAAGTCAATACTTTGATGTCATTTCAGACAGTTGAACTTTGAAAGATTGTGTGCAATACAGAGGAACATACACAATGTCGTAAAATCTGGCCATTTGCAGGGTTTGCAAAATTTATCAGAAAAACATCAATTACGTCACAACCATTTGAGCGACTGGGCTAAAATTCAGTGTGTGTCTAAAGAACAGAATCAAAAAAATTAATTTAGGCATGATGACATCATTGCAACCCCTAACCGCTAGAACCGCATTGTGTTGATGAAAAGAACGGCGTTAGTTTCAAGTCTTTAGCTTGGAAACTAAGGATCAAAATGTGTTTTCGACCTTCTGCATGAGCTTGACCTTTGATATAGAAACTTAAAAAAGTATAAGTCTATGACGAGTAACCTACGCTAACATGTCTCCAAGTTTTGTCAAGATTGGTGCAGGATAAATTACAAAAGGGTCTGTAACTATCAAACTGGCATAAAGACGTCTAACGCAACCGACTGATATACTTGCGGAAATTGTAGATTTCAGCAAGTAATAAATTAGGAGAAAAACAATAGGGTTTCAGCCCTTCGAGCTTGAACCCCTAATGATAATTTCATTTATTAAATGTAAGGGGTTATTCAAAACCAATATCACCCATGTGAAAAAATAATTCCCCCCCTATACTAAATGACCGGTTGTGCCACCCTTGTTCGTGGGTGACGTGAGGCTGAGCTTCGCCAGCTTCATCAGTTTGTCAGTGCCATCTCCAACCAGTTAGCTTCCATCTCCGACATCTCCCGGGACTCTACCACTGCTCTTCAAGCTGCTAGCTCGCTTCTCCTGCAACGTCAACCCCATCTGATTCACCATGGGAGCCCAGCATAGCCCAGTTGGACCCCCCATGGCCGCAATCCTTCCATCTGCCGCAGTTTCCAGACACAATGCTCTCTGACCTTCGATCTAGAGCTATCTATTTTCCCTACCAAGGGATCCAGGGTAGCATTCACCACCTTCCATCTGACTGGACAAGCCCATGACTGTGCAGCAGCCTACTGGAAGGCTGGCCAACCAGCAATACTTAGTTTTCCTTCCTTCACAGAGAAGACAAAAAAGGTCATGCTGCAGTTTGACGCTTCCTCCAACTCCATCTGGCAATAGCTACATGTCAGATTACTCCATTGAGTTCTGTACACTGGCATCAACCATCCACTGGGATCATCAGGCCCTTTATGATGACTTACTCTTCAGCCCAGCTGACTCAGTTCTAGATCAGCTAGATGACATGAGCAGTCTCCCGACCTCAATGGCCTAATTCTGACCCTCTCTTTGTGGGGTGTCCTCTTTGTTGACTCTGACCCGTCCAGGAGGAAAAAGTGCTGACTGAGGCTGCTATTTCCTTCTCTCACCCAGTCTTCTTCATATAGTTGTTCTGGCACGAATGCCAAGTGGCCACCAAGGCTTTGATCGACTCCCACTGAACATCACCAGATGACAGGAGGTTCCTGCCCGAGCCCATTCGTTCCATGGCTCTTACTGAAATGATGGTTCCCATTATCACATAAGCCTGCAGCCCTGTCGAGACGCTGACGTTAAGAAATCATCAGGAGATGGTTGTCTTCTACATCCCAGAATCTCCATGCACCTCACTCATGTAAGAAAGACCCTGAGTAAAATGACCCAACCCTTGCACTGACTAAGTCAGAGGAACCATTGTTGAATGAAGATTTTCCTGCTTCTGCCACAACCATCCTAATAACTGTGCCACTGATCTCCTTCCGAAAATGTCACCACCTAAAGGTCGACAATAGTCACTTTCTGATTCCGAATCACAGGCGATAGATGAATGCATTTCTGAGGTTCTGGCTACCAGAATCATCCAACCGTTATCTTCTTCTGCAGGTCCCAGCTTCTTGTTTATATCAAAAATGATGGCTCTCTCCGTGCATGCATCAACAACAGAGGGCTGAACTCTACCACCATTAAAAATCTTTACCCCCTGCCACAAATAGGTTTTGCCTTCTCCAACCTCCAACGATGTCAATACTTCAATAAGTTGGACCTTCGCAACGCCTACCACCTGGTCAGCATCAAGGAAGGCAATGAGTGGAAGACAGTCGTCAACACCCCCTCTGGCTACTATGAATACTTGGTGATGCCACTTGGGCTCACCAACATCCCTGCAGCGTTCCAAAATCTCACAAACAATGTCCTGAACAACATGATCTGCCGCTTTGTCTACCGTGACAACTTATTTGCGTTCTCCCCCCCAGAAGGATCATACTTGGGATGTTAGTCATGTTATCCAATGCCTATTTGAGAATCAGCTCAACCCAAAACCTGAAAAGTGTGAATTCCAGCCAACATCTGTTCAGTCCCTTAACTTCAGTCTCCAAGGGGAAATTGAGATGCATCGACAAAAAGAACAGGCCATCCCGGTTAAGCTGGAACCAGCGGATCGCCAGGAACTTCAGAGATTCCTTCGCTGTGCCAACTTTCACTGGCACTTCATCTGAAACTATTCTACAGTCGCTGTCCCTGTTACTGCCCTCATCACCTGCAAGGTTCGCTTCCGCCAGACTCCTCAGGCCACCTCTGCCTTCCGCCAGATGAGGGAAAATTTTACCAAAGCTCCTGCCCTGGCTCCAACTGATCCCCAATGCAAAATCATTGTGGAAGTGAAAGGAGTCGTGTCATGATTACTGCTCATGCTCAGAATTTCGAAAATGGTTAGACTAACAAAGTGAATCTGCTTGACTGCAAGCCAAAATCTGATTCCATCCTCCCCCATTTGTCCTCGTTTTGCATGGTATTTATTGATTGTAGTTACTCAGGCATTATGCTTTTTATATATAAAGGAGTTTCCGTAGAAATTAGAGGATTCAAAGCATTATTTTAGCGCTTTTACTGATGGATATGAAGAGCGTGAGCTGGTTTGCAAACCGCCAATAAAAACCATTCAATGATTATTAAGTATTTTCTAAAGCCTGGGAAAATATTATGGTCTCAATTTTTGTTTGTGACTCTGAAACACAAATACAAGGTCCACTGACTTTAGGAGTTGCAGATCACTTTCCGATTGGACACTAATCGCATGAATTCTGTTGGGATCTGAATGACAAAATTGTATTATTTTAAATGTTTTTCTCTTCTTCTATGCAGTGATACAAACCATAAAAATGAGCAGTCTTTTGTATTTGCATGGAAAAGGATTTTCCGTAGAGCGACCATTTATGCCGTAGCGAATCAAATTTAGTATTATCAGATCACTTCATCAGGCAGCTAATTCCATCCCTGCGCAACTTGCAGAGAAATGCTGCATAAAAATAGCCTCTTACATATTTACAATTTCAGAAATTATTATTGATACAAACAACAAACTACACATTGTTTCGATTCCATATTGGAGTCATCTTCAGGGGTGTGTCAGGGATGTGTCTTTAAAAAATTAATTGATCTTCCAAATGTTCATCGTGACAAGGTGTCATGTGCTGTGTGGTCTTGAGAGATCAAAGTTGCAAAATGCTCCCAGCTGGACCTGGTAGCTCAGTTGGTAGTGCGGTGGGACGGAATCCCTAAGTTGGGAGTTCAATCCTCACTCAGGTTCAGATTTTCTGATCTGGTTTTGAGCAATCTTGGTATAAACTGTCAATTCTCCAGCATATCCCAGTAATTTTCAATGTGGCTAAGGTCAGGACTTTGTGGTGGCCAATTCGTGAATGAAAATGATTCCTCCCACTTATTTTCCTCCATTATTTTCTTTGCTAGATGCAGGCCAATAATTTGCCCATTCTGATACTGTAATATCTTTTCCACCATCATGGGATACCCCATCCGACATGATTTTCTTTTAAGAATTAAGAAGCTACGCTCTTAGTCAGATCGGGTTAAAATAACAAAAATAAAACATATCAATCCCTGGCAATAATGATCCAGTCATTGCATTTGTTCAGTTATATCCAAATGGTGACTTTTTTTTTTGGATGGGCAGTGTATATCCAAAGTTGGTAGTTATAATGTCATAGCTGATTGGTGTACGTATACACAGAAAAATGGACCATTTTCATGTCAAAACAATAAAGTCAAATTAACACTGAACTTTACCTTTATCTCAACCAAAGCAAAAGGTTCAAATATTTCTCAGTTCCATCACAAAACTACATGAATTGAAGAACATAAAACATGAACCAAACCATTCGGTCTAAATGCAGTTGAGTGTGGTCAGATTTAAATTTTGAGATCAAACACCGTCATCAGTCAAAAACTGATCAAACTCCAAGACTAGTCAATTGCTTATCTAATTCCTTTCAGGAGTCAAACTCAAATCTTATTCCCATAATCAAAAACGGATCCTAATACAGACAAAAAACATTTATCAATTTTCGTTAATGAGTCAACAGATAATGCAGGTCCCATAAACAGTCAGTCATTGATGTAATTACCATGATAAGAAAAAACACTGATCTTTTTCCCAAAAATCAGACAAGCACTGATCAAATTTCAATCATCAAACACTGATTTGTATTGTATTATCAAATGAACAGTCACAATTTCTATAATCAGTGAAATACCGATCTTCTTTTTTTTAATTCTCTTTTTTTTATTGAAATACTTCCACATGTTTAACAGTCATTTAAACATCTGTTATACATTTTTCTTTGCATTTTTTAAAACACGAAAATACCAAAGAAAATTAATATTATTAATAACACTAAAATAATATAAATAAGCATAAAAAACAAAAAAATATATTAATTATATATATGTACTACAACCCAAGAATCCATAAAATTAGAGAATCTGATACTTATGTATTTATAAAATGACTGCCTTTACATCTGCACTTGTATCTTTACGTAGTTATTTACTTACTTTTTTAATTTTACAAAACGGAAACAGAACAGTTAAATTTTGTGGCAAGAACCAGGGGGTCCACATAACACAATGTTTTTACCGGATAAAATCTACTCTCAAAGGTGACACAAAGTCAACCCAGTTTTTCCAGAAATTCTTAAATTTATCGGATTCTAGTCTAGCCGAGAAAGTCAACCTTTCCATCATATAAATATTATGCATTACTTCGACCCAATCCTCCCTTTTAGGCGCCTCTGTCTTCAGCCACTTCCTGGTGTTAGCTTTTTTTTTACCCGCAATCAACATTATTCTGAATAAATATTTGTCTTCTGACTTCGTCATTCCCTGGCTCCCCCTTCCCAAGTACAAAACATCAAATGTAAAAAGAAGTTCCACTTTCAAAATTTTCTCCATGCAGTTTTTTTGATCCTGCCAATACGCTATAATAGAGGGGCATTCCCAAAAGATATGAAAATGATTGGCTTTATTTTGTCAACATTGTCTGCAACAACTTGTGTCTTGAAATTTCTTTTGTGCTGGTGCAATAAAATATCTCACTTTATTCTTCCCATGGGAGGGAGCAGGTTGTTCGCCATTGTTTCTCACTGATCTCTTCCCATTCCTCCTCAGACATCATTTTTCCAGCCTCTTTCTCCCATTTTTCTTTTACAACCCCAATTCCGAAATAGTTGGGACAAAGTGTAAATTGTGAATAAAATCAAAATGCAATGACTTTCAGATCACATGAGCCAATATGTTATTTACAATAGAACATGGATAACATTTCTAATGTTGAAACAGAGACATTTCACATTTTAATCCACAAAATGAGCTCATTTCAAATTTTCTGGCTGCAACAGGTCTCAAAAAAGTTGGGACACAGGCAAAAAAAAGTGCTGAAAAAGCAATTAATATATAAGAGAATCAGCTGAAAGAATATTTAGCAAGTAATTAAGTTAACTGGCATGAGGTGTGTAACATGATTGGCTATAAAAGGGATGTCTTAGAGAGGCTGAGTCTCTCAGAAGTAAAGATGGCCAGAGGCTCTCCAACCTGTGAAGGCTTGCGTAAAGAAATTGTGGAATACTTTAAAAACAATGTTCCTCAACGTCAAATTGCAAAGGCTTTGAAGGTCTCATCATCAACAGTGCATAACATCATCAAAAGATTCAGAGAAACCGGAAAAATCTCTGTGCGTAAGGGACAAGGCCAAATACCTTTACTGGATGCCCGTGGTCTTCGGGCCCTCAGGCGCCACTGCATCACTCACCGGCATGATTCTGTCATTGACATTACTAAATGGGCCCAGGAATACTTCAAGAAACCACTGTCTATAAGCACAGTCCGCTGTGCCATCCAAAGATGCCACTTAAAACTCTATCATGCAAAAAGGAAGCCATTGTTGATCATGATCCAGAAGTGTCGCTGTGTTCTGTGGGCCAAGACTCATTTAAAATGGACTGTAGCAAAGTGGCAAAGTGTCCTGTGGTCAGACGAGTCCAAATTTGACATTCTTGTTGGAAATCATGGGCGTCGTGTCCTCCGGGCTAAAGAGGAGAGAGACCACCCCTCCTGTTATCAGCGTTCAGTTCAAAAGCCAGCATCTCTGATGGTATGAAGATGCATTAGTGCACATGGTGTGGGACACTTGCATGTTTTAAAAAGCACCATGAATGCTGAAAGGTATAAAAGGTTTTAGAGCAACATATGCTCCCCTCCAGATGACATCTATTCCAGGGAAGGCCTTGTGTATTTCAGCAGGACAATGCAAAACCACATACTGCAGCGATCACAACAGCATGGCTTCGTAGTAGAAGAGTCCATGTGTTGAACTGGCCTGCCTGCAGTCCTGATCTTTCACGGATTGAGAACATTTGGCGCATAATTAAACAAAAAGTCTGTCAAAGGAGACCCAAAACTCTCCAGCAGCTGGAAGCTTGTATTAAACAAGAGTGGGATTAAATTCCAATGGCTTAACTCAAGAAACTTGTCTCTTCAATGTCCAGACGCCTCCACTCGGTGTTAAAAAGATGAGGGGATGCTACACCATAGTTAACAGGCCCCTGTCCCAACTTTCTTGAGAACTGTAGCAGCCATCAAATTTGAAATGAGCTCATTTTGTGGATAAAATTGTAAAACTTCTCAGTTTCAACATTTGCTATTTTATCACTACTCTATTGTGATCAAAATACTGGCTGGTGTGATTTGAAAGTCATTGCATTTTGATTTTATTCACAATTTACACTTTGTCCCAACTATTTCGGAATTGGGGTTGTATATATATAATGTATTATTACCTTTTAGATTTTCCACTTCTTCTCACAATTTTGAGATTATTTTCTTGCCCAAATCCGATTCATGTGCTGGTTCAAATAATTTGATAATTCCTGACTCTAACACATCTAAATTGATCTTTTTTTATCATTTGGTCCATATAATGCCTCATTTGTGGATACTTGCAAAAATCCTGATCATTTAAGCCATATTGATTCTTTAGATCCTGAAAACTTTTAATAACCTTCTTCTTGAAAAGCTCTCTTAATATTGTTGGCCCCCCATCCCATCTACTGAAATTCTTATCCACTGTATTAGGTATATGTATTAAGTCAGAATAATATGCAATCCATCGCAGCATCCTACTCTGCTCTGTCAGGCTATTCTATGATATAATCTCAAACTACATTTTAAGGGGAGATACTGATCTTATTGCCATAATCACTTGGCCACATACCTAATTCGCATAATCACTCAAATACACCAAACTGCCTTATTTGGTCAAACACTCATCTTATTCACATAAGTCAGTCACTAATCTGATCACCTTGATCAGGGTGCAAGACTGTAGCAGAAACATAGATTCTGTTTCTAAGGGGGAGAGCTTTCCAACACCATAACAAAGTTTGTTTTGATGAGACATTGAGCAGCACATCTGAAAGCTGCCTCCTGATAGTAATGACTTCCTTTGCTCAGCTTCACTCAGCACCTTCATCACTGCATAGGAAATGAGAAACCACAACGGTCCTTTCTGTCGAACTGAGTTTCCAGGCACTAATGCGACATGCAACATGCTGCAACAAGCCCTCAGTCTCCAACACAAGCACCATGTGGGCTGAGCACAGCCCAGTTATTTTGGAAAAAAAAAAAAAACCTTCTTCAATCAACAGACAGATCTGACAGACAGGAGCTTTCAGTCACATCACTTCAACATTTTTCCCACGCGGCTTTCCTGAAATGACAAGCGCGGCAGTGTGCACTTACTGGAAAGCCCAGCCCAACCGGCCAAAACTTCACCTTCACTATGCGGAAATGCAAGCCATAATACCTGAAGCAGGTTTCAATACCTGTACTGCTGGAGTGAATAAAGACACATTCCCCATTGCATTCTCAAATATTGAACTATTTTGTTGCTCTTTAAACAGCTGTTCATGTAAACTGCTAGGCTTTCTCCCTAAAAAAAAAAAAAAAACCCTGTATTTAGGGGGCACTTTTAATGGCATATGCAGTGGCACCAACTTGAGTAAAGTTTTGGTTATGAAGAAACTAGAGTCATTAAGGCACCATTTTACTCTAGGACACTGACTAAGGAGTTTACAGCACACTAGAGACCACAGCTCTCACATTCTCAAAGCTCACGGATCAGCACGGATCAAAGTTATCAAAATTTATCTAAAACAGGTGCATTATTATCATTACAAGTGAAATTAATATTTCCTTCTACATACGAGATTGTTAGACCCCAGCTAAAAATATTTC